CCCCCCCCCCCCCCCCTCCCCCTCCTCCGCCGGCCCTCCCCCGCTCCCTCTCTCGCTCCTGGCTCGTCCCTTCTGCCGCCGCGTGCCGCTGCTGCACGTGCCACACTCGTCTGCCGACGACAACAAACGCGACGCATGAACACACGGGACCAGGCCGCCGTCTTCACGTGGTACGGCTGCACGATAGAGACGACCGGCTGGGTGTCGAGCATCTACGTGGCGCAGGAGACGCCCATGAAGAGCTACGTCAACACGCACGCACAGCTCGAGGCGCGGAGGGACAAGGCGCTGCAGGCCCTGCAGGCGGGCCGCACGAACATCACGGGGCCGAGGGTAAGGGGGACGGGAGTATAAGCGGAGTGGGGGCTCATGGGCAGAGGGGCGTGAGGTCAAAAGGAGCTGACCGTACACAACAGAAGCTTGTACATTCACACGCAATACAAGGGAGCAAAAACTCACTAAACGCGAACAGCACGAGAGAGCTGGCTTGGCCCACGGGGATGTTCTCGAGGCACACCTCTTCTTCCTGAATGAATGTCGCGAGGCATGACGCGCAGCCTGCGTGTATGCGCTCGAACCAGAAACCTATCGGTGGGAGAACAGAAAACCTTCGGCCTTGTGCGTTCGGTCGTAAGGGGTGTTGTGCTGGGGGGAAAAGAGATGGCCAACATCAGCCAAGAGTGCGTCGACGTTTTCTTTTTTTTTCACGTTCATTCCTGTATCCGGTTCTCCGTGCTGCCACCTTATAAAGGTGATGGTCGTCGGAGAAGCGGACAGCGGCAAGTCCACCCTCGCGAACATCCTGGCCGCCTACGCCGTGCGGCTAGGCCGGTGTCCCACCTTCGTCGACCTTGACGTGGGGCAGGGGATGATCGCCGTCCCCGGAGGGATCGCCGCGGCAGCGCTCGACAGCAACTCCATGTCCGTCGAGGTAAGGTCTCGCGGGAGACGGACATCGAGTGGGGATGAATTGTCATTCGTCGATGGTGAGAGTCAGTCGCTGCTGTTTGCTTGCTACGTAGTGTGGTTGTTGTTGTTGATGCTGCTGCTGCTGCCGTAGTGTCGACATTGGTTTGTTGTCGTTCCTACCACGATGGACGGTGGTACAAGCGAAAGCCCAACTTTGACCGCTGACATTGCTGCTCTTTCGGGGGACTTTTTGACGACTACAGGAAGGCTTTTCTTTGACGGCGCCGCTGGTGTTGTTCTACGGGCACACCAGCTTGCAGGAGAATCCGGAACTGTTCAAGAAGCTCGTGGTAAAGTGAACCTATTCAAGTCTCAAGCACTGAAACAGTTGTCACCGCGCGCTTATGGCACCTGTGTCATTTCCTGCACGTCTTCCCTTGCTCTTTGCTCTTGTTAATGTTTTTTTCGTTGTTGCTGTTGCTGTTTTTTGGCTGTGCTGTTTTGTGCTGTCGACGATGGTAGCCAAGCTGGAGCGCCCCGGCCGAATTCGCGCCTCGCTGCTTCATTGTTCTCTGTCTCGCAATCCGCCCGTTGTTTTATCAAATAGGTTTTGATGCATCGTGGCGTTATGTTCGTATTTTCTCTGTCGTTACCGCTCTACTGCTGTAGTCAACAGGACGTGCTGGTATCCTCATCGTTCCTCGCGTGTGCTGTCTCTTCGCGCATGCTTTGCGCGTGGCGAGCAGGGGAGAATGGCGGAGTGCCTCAAGCGGAGGATGGCCAACGACATCGACGCCAGCGCTTCAGGCGCAATCTTCAACACTTGCGGGTGAGTGAGATAAGGAGCGGCCGATGGAAGGGCGCATTCTGCAATCGCTTTTGTGTTTCGCTTTATATTCGGCATATCTTCAACAACCGCGCAAGGCCATGGAGCGCCCTGAATTATCTCTGTTTTGCGTCTTTCAGGTTCGCGAAATCGGGCGAGGTGGGGGGATCGGGCCAGATAAGTGACTTGAATCGGCGTGCCTCAATCGATGCACGAAGAAGTTGTTCCTAGTGAAGTCGGCTGCCTTCGAGTTATCCCCAGCGGGTCCCAACCCCCCTTGTTGCCTCGTGTCTGGTACCTCTACAGTAGTGCCGCAAGGTGATACGTGGTACATGCGAACACGCACATCGTCTTGACCCCTCCTTGTGTCCACCTCACGTCTCACCATGTTCGTGCACCCCCGGTAGTGGTAGGTTTGCGGTCGCTTTGAGAAGCTCGACAGCTCCGCGGCAGCAGCAAAGCCGTACAACAGGTTCGAATTTGACGAGGCGGCGTGGAGGAGAGTTGTTGGCGAGGGCTTCTCAGACACGCGTCGTTTCGACACTGGCAGGCCCCATTGTTGACGATATAGATCAAGCTTGTTGGCCCCGCTCGTCTTGGGTAGTGTCATCGGCGACTTTCTGTTGAGGCTTTTTGGTAGAGCAACGTCGGGGTTGGCTTGTCGTCGAAAGCGAACATTTATATACATACATATATCTCAGGTGGGTAGAAGGGCTTGGCCTGGAGCTCCTGGCGCACGCGATCACCGTGCTGGACATCGACGTGGTCCTGGTGATGAAGCACGACCGCCTCTACGCGGACATGGTGGCGACCCTGCCCCGCTCCGTCGCCGTCATAAACCTGCCTCGCTCGGGAGGTGTGTTCTAAATGCTGAATACCACTGTAGTATGTTGCAGAGGTCCTCTGTTGTTATTGTTGTTGGTGGTGGTGTTTGTCGTTTTTGTTCGTTGTCGGCCCTGCCGCTTGCCGTTTCTACCGTGTTGCTGTTGCTGTCGCTGCGTTTTTCACCGCACAACATCGGAACAATATGTGTGCGTGCTGTGACCCCGTGTGTTTTTCTGGGCGCCATGTTACTCCCATATCGGCATGTGTTCGGACGCACCAACCGCGGGGGTCCCGCAAGTGTGGCGACGGCAACATGGTGCCAACGGATCGCGAGCGAGCGCGTGCGCGTGCGTGCCTCCCGCCTCCTCCTCCTCCTCCTCCTCCTCCTCCTCCTCCTCCTNTTCGCTGTATCAGACGGTACTGTGTCGACGGTGTGCAGATCCTCCGTGATGGCGGTAGTGATGCCGCCCGCCGACCTCCAACAGCTGATGCCATCGGCAACAACGTCGTCAGAAGGTGTTGCTTCCTCGCTGCCGCTACCCGTGCCCCCTCCGTCCAACGGCGCTCCCTTTCGCCCCTGATCCTTTGCATTTCGATCCTCCTCACTCGTGCCTCCCTCCCTACCCTCGTTCCCTGAAACCTCCTCCTCCTCCTCCTCCTCCTCCTCCTCACCCGTCTTTATCTTCCCCTCTGCTCCGCTTTGCACGAAAAGGGGTAGCTTTGCGAAGCTCTCAGTACCGGCGTGCGTCGCGCGACCGTCGGTGCCGCGAGTACTTCTACGGCGGGGGCGGCGGGGCGGCGGGGGCGGCGGCGGGCGGCGCGCCCGCGCTGTCGCCCGCTGCCCTCCACCTGGACTTCAACGACGTTAGCATCTTCCGGGTGGGTGGGCAGACGGTGTCGGACGCGATGTTGCCGGTGGGGCACTCGGACTCCAGCCTCGGGCCATTGCAGGTTTGTGCATGGATTTTCCGGACACAGTGTGTCTTTTGCCTGAGTGCAAAGAGACGCGCAACATCTTTCGCCTTCACTGGACGTCTCTGTTTTTTGTGCGTCTGGAGCTGAGTCGCTCCTACGTGGGTGTGTTGCGCGCTCGGGGGGGTGGAGCGTACTCTTTTTGTCGCTTGCCCTTTTTTGCTCCCAAGTGCCCACCCGTCCTCCCTCCGATCGTGCGTACCTTCGGCTCTCCACACAACCCTTCATGCGGACGTTCCTTTTTTTTTTCAGGTGAACCCTTTGTATCCTTCTTCCGACCTTCTTCACACGGTGCTGGCGGTGTGCCACCCGGTGTTGCGTCAGGACGGAACCATGCTGGGTGGCGCGTCCGGTCTGGAGGGGGACCGAGATTCGGCGGAGGCAGCGCAGGTGAATGGGCCGGCCGCGCATGGGGGTCTGCGCTCGGACGGCAACGCCTCTCGTCGTTGTTGTGGCTGTCATCGTTGTCAACATGTTTGGTCCAAACCTATATCCTGACTTCGTTGCTTCTGCGCGAGGGATGTATGCGAAGAGTATCCCGCGAAAGAAACGTTGCCGGTGACTTCGTTCGCGCCCGAGAGGTTGTGATATGTCCCAAGTCATGGCAACACGCGAAAGTTTGCGGGGATCACTTGTCCTACAAATTTCTGTTGCTTTGCGCTCCAAAGCGCATTTGTTCGTGGGTTTATACTGTATGCCGTGGGTGCACGGTGCAGGTTATGCGCTGCGGCTGCTGCTACGTTTTTTGCCCGCCTGCTTTGATATCCAATTATTTTTTTATCTTGTATCTCCACGGATGTCGATATTCCAAGCACGGGCACACGATTCGCTTCGTGAAGCAAGAAAAACCTGTCACAGAAACGTGGTGTATTGACACACTCACGACAATGCCCACAACGCGCGCGCAGGAGCTCCTGAATTCCAATGTGGCCGGCTTTGTGTACGTGACGGAGGTGGACATGGACAAGAGAAGGCTGGCCGTCCTTAGCCCCTGCCCCGGGTCCCTACCCAGCAGATTCCTCATCGCGGGGACGGTCAAGTGGCAGGAGTGACCCACGCTCGTGTGTTGATTTAATCATGATTTTGAATTTTTGTGTGTGTGGGTGTGTCGGGGCAACCCCCAATGGTGTGGTAGCTTCACGGTTTCGGGTTGGGAGGTGACGATGCTGTTGTGTCTCGGTGTGGTCGCGTTCCTCGCAGTCGAACGCGACTGTTATAGAGCGGCGGTGGTGGACTGGGGAGAATGAAAGACCATGACCTGGTTGACGTCTTTTTGGCTGGGTTTGGGTTGTCTCGGTGCCGGTGTCCAGCGTTCAGTCAGAAAATGTTGCCAGCGCGGAAGGATCGCGCCGCCTCTGTGGAGAACGCGAGCGTGAGCTTAAACTTCCAATGTACCGCGCTGTGGCAGACGGGGCATCCACATTATGGACTTCTGAATAAGAACAGGAGAGAGCGTTTGCGGCTTTCGCCCCAGCCGCATAAGCGTCTATGGAGACTACCACACGACCGCCTACGCACGAGAGGTGTTGGGCGTGCTATCAAGAACAAATACATCTAGCTTGAGCCAGTGTCATGGAGTCGACACCTGTCGCAAATGATCCGTCGAGTTACCAGGGGGGAATGCGATGCTGTGAGTAGGGTACAACGTAGTGAACTGGGGAATGAAGCGCCGTGGCGTGTGCGTTGGTACCCGGGATGTGTGAGGCTTGCGACACTCTCGATGCTGTGTCTCTGTTTCCCGGTGTTTTGGGCCAGTGTCATGGATTCGACACCTGTCGCAAATGATCCGTCGAGTTGCTAAGGAGGAATGCGGTGCTGTGAGTAGGGTACAACGTAGTGAACTGGGGAATGAAGCGCCGTGGCGTGTGCGGTACCCGGGATGTGTGAGGCTTGTGACACTCTCGATGCTGTGTCTCTGTTTCCGTTGTTTCGGATCCAGACGACCCCGACATTTTTGCTGGGTTGTCTTGCCAGTGTCTCTGGTCTATGTGTGGTTCGTTCGTTATTGGCGTGTGAACGGCGCCGTTTGCCCCTGCATCTACTGCCAAGACAAACTACTCTTCGCCAGTTTTCATCTTTGTGCTGCCAAATCGGCATCCTGTAGCTCGCACCTGTTGGCCGAAGATGCACTGTTAGGAGGTTGCGCCGCGTGTGTTTGCTAGGATCATGAGCTGAACTGAATCACAACAGAGTGAATCCCTGCTTGAGACTCTTCGTGATTTCGGATTGCACAAGTTTTTCAACGAACAAGGATGAGAGGGAAATGACAAATAATTGTGTTTCAGCCTCATGCGGTCAGTCTCTTCTTGATTTTCGAGTCCGCAAATACAAAGGAGAACGAAAATGAGAGGCATGACGACTGCCTTCAGCCTCGTTTCAATGACCGATATCCAACCGGGCTCGAGCTGCTCCAGCATTTTCATTTCGTGCACTCATTCCGGCAGACTCACTCGCTCAACGGGCAAAAAACCAATGTTGTCACACCGTGAATCGAGAATTTCACTTCTCGGAACTTGGGGGCTTCATGGTGTCGTTGAATGACGATCTTCCGCATTCCCTTGTCGAGTTCTAGCCTGTGGGAGGGGATTATTCGCCTGAGACGAGTTATTTTCCACCACTGGTTGCCAACGTACCCCTTCACTCCCGTTTGATCCTGTTGTACGACGCCACCCTTCCGATCCTTCTGCACAGCTGGCAATATCCAAGACTCCAACGCGGGCGTAAAAAAACTTCACTGAATCACTTGCATGCACTCGCCGATTAGAAGGCCAGGCATCCGACCTCGGACTTCATGGTGAACGTTTGAACTAGATGCGGTACTGGGTACTCCGGCGAGCTGGTGCAGTTGTTGAATGTTGAGGACAACCGAGTACGCCAATTTTCATTTTTCTGAATTGAGGGGCTGAAATCAAATCACTACTGCTGTATACACTTACACAACAACGCCGGCACGCGCCTGCGGCCAACACTGCTGTGCCTCACCGCAGCAGCAAGCAGCAACAGCATGCCACGTATCTTCTTGCCGACGGTGACTCCCAAGAACAATGCCCTGATGTTGGGCAGTACACAACAACAGCAGAGCACAGATTTCGACCTGCCCGAAAGCGACCAAGACAGCACCACCGAAGATGAAGATAGCCCAAACTTGCTCCACTGCACGAGCGTGGGGTCACAGGGCCCGGCAGTCCTCCTCCCCCAGCAGGAGGAGGAGTCCGACGGTGATCGTAGTAGCACGGCATGCGGACGCAGTAGGGCGGACGATGAACCCCTCGAGGCACCTGCGAGCAAGCGCCCGAAGCAACACGGCCACGGCAAAAACTACAGCACCAGCAGCAGGGAACATGAGAGAGCTCTTCCCACCGAAGCTGTTCACTCGACGCCGGGCAGGGTGACCTCTCCAGCACACAATACGCCTACCGTTGGTACTTCAGCGTCCAAATCGAGAGGCATATCCCAAAGAGCAGCAGCGAATTACAACCGTTTCACATGCGCAACACCAACGGCAAACACGGCGGCGGCGGTGACGAAGGGGAAAGAGGACAGCATCATCGGCCGCCGCGACGCTGTGGGGTCGAGTGTAGCGACCAACAACCTAAGGCAGGAGGATGGACGACAAGAAGAAGAAGAAGAAGAAGAAGAAGAAGAAGAAGAAGAAGAAGAAGAAGAAGAAGAAGAAGAAGAGAAGACGTTCTCCGTGGTTTTCATGACGCAGTCGTTGGGGATCACCCTCGCCGCGTCCGACGACGGCGACAAGTCCCTCGTCGTCTGCGACAAGGAGGACACCACAAATCCGTCAACAGCAGAAGCCACCTCCACCATACGCATCGGAGACCGGCTGGTGAGCGTGGGTGGCACGAGCACGGCCGGTTTCGGCGTGAACCGTGTGGAGAGATTGATCGTCCGGGGGCTGCGTCCTCTGGAGGTGGTTTTCCGGCGGCCACGGCGGCATGGGCCAACCGCTTCGATTGCAGCTGCAGGGACAGCCGCAGCAGGAGGGACATCATCCTCGACACGGCGAACACCAGCGAGCCGGAGACCGAAGCATCCGGCTCTCGGAGGGCTGGAGCAGCGATCACGGGACTGCCTGCTGGACATGATTAGTGGCATCGCTACCCAGGAGAGCTCTCTCCTCCTCGGGTCACAGCGGCAGTGGCCCCAACAGCAGCAGCAGCAGATCCAGCAGATCCAGCAGATCGGGATGGTTGCCAATGGCGGTTCGCCTTCTCGGAAAGGCGGTGGCAAGCAACGAGTGGACAAAAGCATCGCATCACACCCCTCAGCACCTCAGTCGCTGGTGTCGTCACTCCTACGGGAATCGGTTGCTGGCGCTACTACCACTGCTACTGCTGCGGTTGATATTGCAGAATCGACACCGAGCAGGAAAGAAAATAGCAACCGCCACCGTCAACACCAGAGGCCGACTCCGGCGGCAGAGGACGAGCACTCCTCCCCTGCCTTTTCCACCTCGTCATCCGCGACAGAAGTAGACATGACATGGCTTAGCACCCCAGGCGCGGCAACAAGAAAAACTGCAGCAGTTACAGCACCCACAACCCCCCCCCCGGGTCATCGCCCCGGGCAGGCAGGATCGGCAACAGCAGCAGGAACGGCGGCGGCGGCGACGACGACTCGAGCGCAAGTTCCTTCGCCTGCGTGCGGCGATTTTTCTGCATGCAATGACTACGATCGCGGCGGCACCGGCGGCGGCGACGGTGTCACCACAGCCGAAGAAGAGTTGAACGCAAAGCGGCCCGAGAGCAAGGAGAAGAAGAAGAAAAAAAAGCAGACGAAGGCACCTAGTACCGCTACGCCTCGGACGCATCAAAGCGGAGCGAGGCTTATCACGAGCTCCATCAACAACGACGACAGTTCGGCCGTGCCTCCTCCTTCCGTTTCCACCGCGGCTGGCAACGGCGTCGGTGGCGGGGGCGACGGCGGGGGCAGCAACGGCGGCAGAGGCACCGGCAAACAGGCGAACTTCGCGTCTCCATCGGCAGCCGAGGTAGTGCCGACCTCCACTGAAGTCACCAGCATCCTCATCAAGCTAGGGCCGAAGGGCGCGTCCGAGCTCGCGCTGTACAAGAACCTCGCGTTCGACGAGCTGGTGAAACTGTGTCGGTACACCGGGAGCGTGGACCTCTCGAAGCGCCTCCCAAAGGCGACGATGGCGGAGCGCCTGAGCTCTCTGTGCTCGGAGCGGGGGGCGCTGGCCGTCGAGCTGCGGAACGCGGGATTAGCTAAAGGACGGAAGGCTGAAAGCGAAAGAGGAATCGGAGGAGCAAGGGGTGGCAAGGGGGAAGCGCCACCGCGAGGAGTTGACCGCTCTCTTGAGGGTCCCCCTACCCCGCCAATCCGGGCCACCGAGGCAGCAGCAGTAGCAGCGGAAACAACTACCCCTGTGCAACAGCGAGGGCGTGCTCCTCGTCCTGGCAGCCTTTCGCGGACGCCTGGTCCCGCAGGTTGTTCCAGGGAAGCATCTCGGCAACAGCCGCCGCCGCCGCCACCGCCTGGGAGCATGAACACCCCAGTGCTGGCAATTCCTCATCAGGCTTCTTTGTTCCGGCAGGGGGGTGACACCGGGGACCCGGGCGACGACCAGGGGTGCTGGGCTGACTGGGACTACCCCGACAACGCCGGTGCTCGCCTCGATAGGAGCGGCGGGAGGGGGGGGGCAGGAGTGGGCAGGGGAGACCGCCGCCGTGGGGGGCGGAGGGTGGACGACGACGGCGATGACGACGAGGAGGCTGCGTGGTGGTCTTGGGAACCCGATCATTGCGAGTGGTCTCCTTGCTCCTCTCCGACCGCCGCCGCCGCCGCCGCCGCACCACCGCCTTCGTCGTCGGTACCGACTGGAGGAGGCAGAGGTGGGGGCGGGGAGGACGGACGGGAAGCAGGTGCTGCCGTGTTCCGTCGCAACCCTCTCCTACCTGCTGCTTCTTGCTTCTCTCGTTCGTTCGCTTCCTCTTCGCCGGTCGGCGCCCTTGCTGCTTCTGAGGATGAGCAGCACCAACAGAATCACAGAGGGAGCACGATGTCGCCACTGTCGAGCGGGTTGTTGTCCGGAGCGGGCCTGGGGTTCACCGCCCTGCCCAGGTGGATCCTGCGGTCCGTGCGAACAATTGGAACGCAGGTGGGTTGTTGTTGCTCCTGCACGCGTAACGCGTGGGTCGCGTCTTCATGTCTGGGCGACACCCTGTGCGTGATTATGCTTCCCTGTCATGCAGGTACGCATGGTTGTGCTTCCGCTTCTTTGAAGATGAATGCGGCGGACTGGGGAAGAGAGTGGGAGGATGGAAAGACTACCAGGCCTTTCGGTGGGCATTTCTAGGTGGCGAGGCGCGTCTACAGAGAGAAAAGTTCCGCCGTACCATGAAACATGCACAGCATAATGGCGTTCGTGGGCTCCCCTTCTTGTTGCTATCTCCGCCGACAAAAGCACTCGAGCCCTTGACCGGCCAGAGGAGTCCCTTCAAGTCCCCGATGTCGTCGACAATTTCGAAAATATTGTTGCGAAGAGACCGAAAATCTTGAGTTTGGCACGGAAACAACATCGTAAAACTGCGGGCTCCTTTTTCTTCTCTCCCACCTGCCGGCACCTTTTCTCTCTCTCTCTCTCTCTCTCTCTCTCTCTCTCTCTCTCT